TCCTCTACTGGAATTTAAGTTCCACGGAAGTAAGGTCTTTGTTCTCTTTATTTCACTGCTTTATCCCCAGGGCCTAGCACATTGTGTGGTAATTTATGGACATGAACTAAATACTTGCTAAATGAATGATTAGAATACTGATATCCAAATGAAAGTGGAAGAAGTCAAAGAATGGCTAATGGGTAGACAAACAACAGTCTGCCAAAGCAAACTATTTACAAATGGAGATTTGGAATAAAATCCACTCGTGACTCGGAATTTAAGCGTTTGTCATAATATAAAATAAAGCCTTCTTTTATTAACTTAAAGTAAACCCCTCCTTTTTACCTCAAATACTATGTTAAAATAAATTTACATATATTGTGCACATTTTTATGTTCTACCAAATGTGATAGCTTTTATCAGTGGAAATGTGACTTTTTTTGGGAAAATAAACAGATTCAAACAACATAGAAACTTGCATTAAAATTAAATTTTAACCAGTTTTCTTTCAAAAATCCAGAAATTCAGATGAGGGAGAAATTGGACACAGCCAAAATAGTTTCAAAATTTAAGCTACTTATATAAACAGATTAAAACACTTTCAATTTCTCAAACTGCTGGTTTTCTTTTTCAGTTTTATTTTAAGGAAATACTCAATATTTGAATTTCTTATCCATCCTTGCTTTACATTGAGAATAATTTTATGTAAATGAATAAATACATGGGTCCATAAATGATTTTTTTATATGGAGAGAAAATTTTTAAATGACATAACATACTAAATATTATTGAACAAGAGAAAATAAAAATTCAATCGAAATGCATCTCTTGTTAATTAATTTATTTTTAGATTTTTATTTATTTATTTGAGACAGAGACAGCCAGAGAGAGCACAAGCAGGGGAAGCAGCAGAGGGAGAGGGAGAAGCAGGCTCCCTGCTCAGCAGGGAGCCCAACGTAGGACTCCATCCCAGGACCCTGGGATCATGACCTGAGCCGAAGGCAGACGCTCAACCGACTGAGCCACCCGGACCCCCCTCTTGTTAGTTTAATATGGATACAGCATATTTCCAGAAGTACTTTTTGAAAATTCTTTTGAGTAAATTTTGTTATAATTTATATATTTGCATAAATTGGTATGTTTAAATCTTACCATAGAGGTGTTACTCATGAAGATAATTTCTTTAAGAAAGGAATAGTTATTGCTCTATAAATTATTTATGGCAACAGAGCACAAGATCTTAGCTACTAATTTGCAAATAATTGTGTGTGCATGTGTTTATGTGTGTATATATGGATTTAGAGAACTGTTATATGTAAAAGGGCAGACAGCAAACTAGATTAAACAACCTAAAACACTTTCTTTTCAGCGGAGGTTAGAGAGACTTGCATCTAAGCATGCTGAGTGTGCAAGTTGCATAGTGTTCCCACCTCACTGCACAAGTGACTTCCCAGTGTTGTCCTTCCTCCTTGATGTACTGCAAAAATCTTTCCCGAAACTTATTCTCCTTAAACTGCTTTTCCAAGATACAGCTGGTTAAAGTCCTTTTCATAGGTCTGCAACAATTCTAGTTTGGGGTCTGCTACCTTATAAATGGAATGACTTTCATGTTTCTCATGATAATTTGGATCAGCCCATCCATTTCATTCCTGACACATGGCTTCTCAATGACTTCTTACCTACACACGAGTCAGAGGGCAGCACCACTGATCTTAACTGCAATCAGAACACCTCTTCTCTCGTCTCATAACATGTGTTCACATCATCTTCATTTTAGACATCATAACCTTGATTATTTACTTCATACTTTTTTTTTAATGATCAAGCCAATGTCTATATCCTCTTTATGTGTTGGCCATCATAAGGAATGAGTTCCAGTAGGGCAGGAAACAATACATACTGGAAATTTTTTAGAACAATTCTCACATGTCAAAAAATTTTCAAAATCATCGTGCTACTCTAGTATGTATGCTAATTGTTCTTGGCTTTTATATTCTCTCACATTCCCACAAGAATTGGCAGTCCCCTAAATTAGTACAGTGCACACATTTTTTTATTTTTAAAGTAGGCTCCACACCCATTGTGGGATTTGAACTCACAACCCTGAGATCAAGAGTCATATGTTCTACCAACCGAGCCAGGCAGGGACCTCTACACACATTTTAAGTATATAGTTTAATGGGTTTTTACCTGTATGTATTCTTATGATATACTGAGCCACTCCTTGCCCAGAGGGTTCCTTCATGCCTCTTCCTCATATGGTTATGCCATTTTGACTATTAAGTCTGTCTTCAACATGTTCTGTGAGAAACTTTTTTATTTTCATACCAAAAATTTTATTCCAAAGCTGACTAATACTGGTATGGTGTTAGTGCAAAACGCAGTCAGGCAATAAATTGATTTTAAACTAAAAAGTGTGGTTTTTCATAAATGGAAAAGTGCTAAATGTTCAGAGAAGGAATTAAATTAAAAAACTTACTTTTTTCCAAGTAATCTCTATCACAGAAATTCAGTTTTGTTTTTATACATATTTCTTTCATAACTACGTAACACAAATTACACCCTTATCCAGCTTTGATTTCCATGCTGTAGTTACCCATGGTCAACTGTGGTCCAGCAACATGATCCACTTTCTGACTTATTGTCAGAAGGTCAGTAGTAGCCTACTATTGTTCACCTCACTTCATCTCATCAAAAAGGCTTTATCAAAGCCACATCATTCCAAGAATGAGAAGGGTGAGTACAGTAAGATATTTTGAGAAAAAGAGAGAGGGGTCACAGTCACATAACTTTTGTTACAGTATATTGTTATAACTATTCTATTTTGTAATGATATTGTTGATAATCTCTTACTGTGCTTATTTTATAAATTAAACTTTATCATAAGTATGCACGGACAGGAAAAACGATAGTCTATATATAGGGTTTGGTACTATCTGTGGTTTCAAGCATCCACTGGGGGTCCTGGAATGTTATCCTCCACAGACCAGGGTGGACTACAGTATGTCCTTCTGAAGTAAGGTACACAATGATTGTAATAATTATGATGATGATAAAAATGGCAATTAACTTTTATGTGATAGTCACACTATACCAGGCATTATTGAAGAATTTCATATACATAAACTATTTTATTCCTCACAATAACAGTAAGACAAGGAGTAATATTATTTTGAGGATGATGGGTAAATAATTTGCCAACAATGAAGTGAGGGGCAAAGTCAGGATTTGAACCCAGATAGTCCAGGGTCAGAGTCCTTTTTTCTCACTCATTAAACCACACTGTCAAACTGAGACTCAGAAAAATAGCATGGATAGATTACTAGACAAAGCAGAAACTACCACAAATGAACTCCTTCTTACCACCTCTTGGTTTCTGGCAGATATTGTATGCCACATGGTAAGTTCAATTTCCATAATCTCACCTCCCCTACAGTCTAAATATCATGTGATATTCGTCATTATAATTTTATATGTACTGAGACAGGGATAAAATGACATTTGAAACAGCTTGTGTAAATGCAAATAATTCAATAACCAAATAAGAAAATTTAAAATTTTAGAATCATTTATAGCTTTCTTTTCTCAGCTATAGATATGTAGAATGACCATACCTAAAGAGCTTCTTGGAGGATGATGCAAGACCATTTTGTATATCTGGCTCTATTTTAAATCTGGAAAAACATAGGTGATATATATCTAAATGTCTTCTGCCATTATCTTCTAAAAATTCCAGCTCTGATTTTTTGATCTACAAGCTAAGCTTTTAAAATAAAATAAATGCCTATCCATTATACGTTTATCTGTATATATTTTCTCATCCCATCATTAAGAATTGCTTAATTTTTAAAATTATGAGGAATCTTAGTATTTGAATTGAAAAAAGGTGTGTTTTTTTTCTCTTCTGTGAAGCTTTTTTTATTTATTACTTCTTATGAGTCAAGGGAAAAGTCTTTCTTTATTGCCTTTACAAATCATGAGTAAAACACAAATGCTTAATTGAGCAGATTGATGATTAAATGGAGAAAAATGATGAAAGGAAAGATGCCAGCATAAACAGAATATGGCCATTCATTTCTACCCCAAATGAATCAACTACTGCTCATGAATGTGGGTTTAATACTAATTTTGGCAGAAACTACCCAGAGCACCAACCCTCTGCGGAGTCCCACGTCCGCACGGGGACAGCTTTTTCCTGTTTCTTTTGCTAGAATACACCAAATAGCTCTCTCTCTCTCGTTGGCACAAAGAACTCTTAAATGGATTATAAACATAGTGAATTCAGGAGACTTTCTCACACCTGAACTCCAAATACTCATTCAAAGATGAAAATGTTTCCCCCTAAAGAAACTAGGCAACTAAACTATAATATGCAATGTCAGCAGGATTACCCTGGTCATCAGCCATCACAGATCTAATTTCTTGGCATCAAGGGCACTAAAACAATTTTTTTAAGTTAAAAAAAAAGGTAAAGTAGCTTCAACTGAATTGCACGACTCATGAAGGTAAGGAGTGGTCTCCACATCTCTGCTTGCATGACTCATGAAGATAAAGAGCGGTCTCCACATCTCTGCTCTTACATATGCACAGACTAGCTCAGTTCCTATTTATGTCTGATTGTCTACCACAGAAAGTAACAGAGGTTTTTAAACAAGCAACTTGCTATTTTAAGCTGATATTGTTGAGCTTTTCCTAATATATTGATTGATCAGCAGCATAAGACCTTTCAGACACTAAATGGCAGAAATACACCCTTCTAAGGTTTTCTAAATCCTTCCTATCCTCATAACAGGATTCCTCCAGTCAAGTACTAGAGGGTGGAAAGTAGCACCCCATTAGGTGCTAAAGACACCCAAGTGAGTCAGAGAACTTGGCCAGCAGTTTAACTGGGCCCTACACAAATACTCTGTAATAGAAGTGCCAATTTAATTAGCCCTGAAGCAGGAAACAAAGCTCTTTCATTTTACAAAGCTGGAGAATGGAATCTCAAGGAAAAAAAAAAAAGGCAAACCTCTTACCTTTTGTGGCAATTCGTACGCACTGGGTTTTAGTTTCCTGATGGAGTGAAACATGAAAGAGAGCAGTCAGTGTATAGACAATGTTTCCTATTTCATAATCCTGGCTTATAAATGAGGTTTATGAAGAGCAGAATTGCAATATCAAGGAAACTCTTTTTTTTTTTTTAAATAAAAATCTGAAGTAAGAACTTGTAAAAATGTTTCAGTATTTTCTAAAAATTCAGATGTCTGTTTTCATGTTATAATCAAACAGGCTCTCTTGTCTGGGACAAATAGTAAAAGCACTGTATTTGTACTTATCATACTTTTTAAACAATTAGAAAGAAAAATGTGTTTGCAAAGCTAATACAAATCAGACCCAGACACCAACTTCATTCTCACCACATAGCTGTAGACTCAGACCAAAGCTGAACATCCCTTACTCTCACTTGGATCCCAGCACGACTACCGAGCTAAATGACAGTAGTGAGAGAGATCATCCAAAAGTTGCATCACAGCTGTAGTATGATACATCTGTTCTTTTTTTCTTTTTTAATTTCGCTGTTAGGGGTTAAAGATTTCTCATTGAGACTATTTTCCTACTCTTGCTAGACAGATGGAATTGAGGAAGGGTTAAGTTGAAATGGGAAAAGACAAAGATTTCAGGTCCTTCCTTCCTTCCTTCCTGTCTTCCT